GGAACGGTTCGCTTTGTGGACGGTACGGTACGCTTTGAGCACGGAACGGTTCGCTTTGTGGACGGTACGGTACGCTTTGTGAACGGAACGGTTCGCTTTGTGCACGGAACGGTTCGCTTTGTTCACGGTACGGTACGCTTTGTGCACGGAACGGTACGGTTCGTTTCTGAGGTGTAGTAGCACGGTTTAGGGTCTGTATTTGACAATGAAAGAGGATGAAATTTTTATCGCCCCCCCCCTACCCAAAAAAAGAACATTACGTTGAATAAAAAAAAATAATAAAAAATAAATAAATAAATGAAAAGCAAAAATATAGATAAAACTCTATACCTTTCAATAATACTGAAAGAGGCCCTAGATAAAATACTGAAATGAAGTTAATCCTTCACACAAGTACTATATCATATCATAATTTACTTCGCCATGATAAAAGCATACTTTAAATGTTGGTTGGGGTATACTTGAAAGTATTGTGGCAAAGTAACACTTGACAATTAGTAGAATAGTAGATTATTTAAGCTTATTATTAGTCGCTCCTTATAGAAAAATAAAGGTAAGGTGGTTTTTTTCATGCTTTTGTTGATAATTGACTTCTTCCTAAATAAGTAAGGGAGTGGGGTGGGTATAACACCTAAAATATGCTCTGTAAAGCTATGGGCTAGTGCAAAATACACATTCTAATGCAAAAACTATACATGTAGACATCACCATTTGATTTAGCACACAGTATTCATTACATTTCTTAATTCTTGTTTTACTCCAGTTCTGAGAATATTTTTCAGAGTATTTAAGGATGTATTCTGCTGATACGCGGAAAAAAAACGTGCATTAAACTTTCCACATGCTTATACTTTTCTGAAAGTGTAATATCCAAGGAATAATTTAAAGACAAGAAAAGTGTATGTTAGTGTTCATCCAAGAGAGATTCAACCCCTCCAACATAGGCCAAAATAGAGCATTTGAAATTTCATTAAAAATAGCTATTAGACCATAAAAATACCTCATAAAGTTACAAATACACTCAATTTAAACCTAATTTGGCTTAAATTTACTTGAAAGTATTGCAAAGTGAATTTTTTAAGCAAAATATGAGCAAATAAACACCAAATAGATAACTTGTACCTTAAAATGTTGCTCACCGGTGTCAAATTTAGGTAAATTTTTCCCCATAAAATTGCTAAAAAAAAAACAGGGAAAAACATATTTCTACAATTAAACTTTTTGAGAAAATTGTTGTACAGTTTCTTTAGGTATTATGGTTCCTTTTCACAGTATGAAAAGTAGGGGTTAGTGAACATATAAGAAAGTTTTGATATTTTTTATATCCCCATCCCCTATTTCTTTTTTTAGCATTTCATGAAAATAAATCAAGGCATTTAGGCTTCAAAGTATGTGTTTTATTCGCAAAATATTCAAAATTTGTGTAATAATTTCAGGTAATAATTGCAATTTTGTTAAGAAAAGCTTTTTATGAACAAAAAGTTATTATTTAACAAATAAAACTTCATAATAGTTTGTTAGATGTCCTCTCTTTCTCTTGCCCTGCGGGTTCTAGATTGGGTTCTGGTTTGTGGTGTTGGATGGTGGCTTCCCTGGGATTAGTCAAATCCAGTCCCACTTTCTCAGTCTGATTTGCATGGATTTCTCCATCCGATTCTAGTGGTTCTAAAAACCTGCTCTCTTCTTAAGTTCATTTGTGATTCTTGTGACAACAAGACTTACCTGAAAAAAATTATTTTAGAAAAAAAATACATTATAATTACTGTTAATTTCATTGTTCAAAAAATGTAAAATTATTATTTTGTTTATCTGACTTTGTTTTTATGAACCCAAGCCTGTAGTTTAGAATCAAATAATTTCTATATGTTCTATGATGTTTCAGAAATATTCCATTTTTTTTATCCGCATAGGCCGCCATAGAATGAAGCGACCTAGTTTTTATCGAATGTAAACAGCTAAAAATTATAGATGTTATCTTATTATTTTCGTACGGTATGTCTATAAATTTTGGATAGATATTCTGCATTTACAATATCAAAGGAATTTTACCATATACTACGAGCTAAAGTTGCAATGAAAAGGATATTACGAATATTGTCGTCTGCACGAATCTGAAGACCCCTTATGCCTACATGTAGGTAGAATATAATATGTTCAGTTTGCGATGTGACAGTATACTAGGTATTTTGAAACTTTTGTATCTATAATGCATAAACATTGCTATTTCAATAAGTTTGAAAGCATCGGAAACCTACATTTTCGCTTTTCCACTGCTACTGGAACGTAGTCAGCACACTTCGGCGCTCTTGGCTGGCATGTTTGGGGACCGCTTTCGAGAATGTACATGGCCTGATTGTGATATCGGCGATTTTTTAAATGTTTTAAAATTTCTGTCGGTTGGCTCTTTTATTACGGAGTGCCATTGGATATTCCTGTTCGCTTTGAAACGGGAGATCCCGTACTCTTCTAGCCTAGGTCACGCAAGTCGTTTGACCCCCCACTCAAACGCCTTGGAGCATACTGTAGATAAAATTTTCACCACGGGGCGGCGCTGTTAAAGAACGTTAACTCTAAATTTTTATGGCGACTCCGCTGAAAGTCATTACGTTTAAAAAGTAAATAAGCATATATACTGTCAAACATTCTATACATTTCTTTTTTTTTTTAATTCAGCAAGTGATTAGAAAGTGTGTACTCTAACATTTAGACTGATTATTATTTCATCTGCAAACTCCTACACCTGCATACGCACTGTGTGTACCAGATGACTAATGACCTATATAAATTACTACGGCACACTGTAAATTATCTTCAACTTCAAGCATCAATTTCGGTCAAATAACGAATAGCATTGACTTCCCATAACCCGTAGCTAGCACTGCAAATATGTCGAACCTATTTGCTAATTTCTCCAGGCATACTTTCTGTGATGTTTTTAAAGGAAAGTCGATTCTAAGATCAGCCAAAACTCTGCTGTCAAATGTTTATTTTTGTTCAACCAATCACAGGCTTTATCAAATTCTGGATAAGCCTCGTTCTGAAGTAAAAATATTTATAGTGGAATGCTCCTAGACGTTTGGTGTGAGACCATGCATCGATTATGGTTGGCCGTTCTACTCACAATTATTTATTTTTACTCCACTAAAATTATTTTTACTGCAGTAAAAATAAAACACTGGCCAATGCTACTCACAATTAAATATTTTTACTCCAGTAAAATTATTTTTACTCCAGTAAAATTATTTTTACTCCAGTAAAAATAATTTACTTCTCTACTGGAGTAAAAATGCAATGTGGCCATTTAACTCACAATTAATTAATTTTACTACAGTAAAAATATTTTTACTGCAGTAAAAATATAACACTGGCCATTTCTACTCACAATTAAATATTTTTACTCAAGTGAAAATCAACCAATCACAGTCCATGTTAGATATTTGGTGACTCATAGCTCAACGGGGAAAATTCCCCAGACTGTTTACACATGACATGATATACATAGACTTTCAATGTGCTTCCTACGCCTAAGACAGGGAATATAACTGCAAATGGACTATACTGTACGGATTTGCCGATATACAGTATACAATATAATCTTTAAAAAACATATTAAGAGTATAGAAAACATGTAGTGATACTATAGGAGAGATCAATTAATTAAACTTCTTATGCCTTTTTCCGCTTGTCAAGGAATTTCTGGTAGTTGATAGTGTCCCCAACTTAAAATATTTGGCTGTGCCAACAGTAGCAGCACTATGTATATAATTTAAGAAGTTTTTCTCGTGAAATTATAGACTGAATGATATGAAAAAGTTTCTATGATAAACATATAGAAGACAGTTCCGCATCTTTTGATATCATAACTTTGGTTTTTTAATTAACTCAATATCCAAACTGCCAAGTAAATCAATTCATATTGGGTACTTTCTATTTAAGTTTTCAAAAATTGTTAGCTAGTACAAAATAGAAATCAGTTTAGGGCTAGATCTTCACATTTGTGGAAATTAATTGTTTTTAAATTATTTGACCTCTAGGGGCAATTTTTGCACGTGTTTGTAATGCTTCGTCATCTGACATCTCTCTCCTCAGTCTCACGATATCGATGTCATTTGCCGATGGCTGTTATCAAATTTTATAGCCAGATCTTACACTGGTATACCTTTGAATGGAATTTGCTTATTTTTGTCATTTCCTGCTCTATAAATTAATGTTGATTGAGATTGACATTTCAACTCTCTAAAATTGTTTTATTGACTCAATGCATCGAATTTAATTGAATTGAGTCAGTTATACTTCCACTCTGTTTTGGACCTGTTCTGTTATAGCATTCTGCATAGGAAAAAATATATCTTTTGCAAAAGTTACGATTTTTGTAATATATATACCGGTATATAATACGCGTCAAATGGAAAATATGGATGGTTCAGATACGGATGACTTTTTGCCTGAGATTTCGAGACTGCATGACAGGGCTCATATCGTCCGAAGATTGCAGAGGAGAGGGGCAAGGATCGCCAGATCTATCTCTCAGATCACCACTAGTTCTCCGGACCAGGACAGCGCCGGAAATCCATCGATCGTACAAAGGTACGGATATCAAGTACTTCGCATATAGGGGCAAATCCATAAATTAATTAGAGGGGGAGGGGGAGTGAACCTAAACTGAAATCTTTCCATCTATTTGCCATATATCATGTATATATATAAACGTGTAATTAGATCAATGATACTATTTATATAAATTTAGTGAAGTAATGACGCCACAAATAAGAATAATTCATTATTTTTTTAACAAAATTAAAATGCTAAATATCCAGTGATATTCAATTACTCAGCAGTTTATTGATCAATCAAGGGCCGTCATGGGGCAAGTACATTTTAATAAATACTGATATATATAGTCATATACTTGTGTAACACAGTGAAAAGTTTTCTACTAGTACATGTATATATGTAAGATTGCCATAATAGAACATTATTTAAGCTTAATTTGTTTAAATTCCTATTTTTTTCTAAAGATTGATTTATAATTCTGGACAAAAAGAATATTATATAATACCGGTACATAATTAATTTCAGATTCAGTTTGTTTAGAAACCAGGGTAGACAAAGTCGAGGGAATAGATCTAGACTAAGAAAGAGGGGTAGACCCACGAATGATCTACGCATGCGCCTTTGCTGCTTACAGAAACCAGGGGTGTATATTTCGGGTGTGGAAATTGCAAAGCTGAACAAAGTTGGTCTTGGTAAGTTTTGAAAAGTAACCTGTTTATAAATGTACCAGTAGATGGAATGCATATATTTGGGAGTAGCATATGTATCGGTACCGTGATGAGGGGAAGGGGGGGGGCTAGACACAAAAATGTCAAAAATATACATAAAATGAGCATTGAAAATTGGGGACTACCTGGGCTGGGGGGGGGTATTCCACTTTCAATTTGATACCGACGGTAATGTAAAAGAAAAAGAGTTGGGCTGAGAAGCAATAATTCTACTCGTCTTCTCCTAGTTCTCAATGGTGTTAAAACAATACATGCAAATTAAAAAGTTTTTCGAAATATATAATTACTGTGTATTACATTTTGATTTTCTCAATAACTAAAATCTAAGTATAGAATTTTTGTCCTATACATTTTTTTCAAAGTTCGTCATATGTCCCTATGGTATATGGTTTTATGTACAGTCTTAACACACTATGAATTTTTTTTTTAAATGCGTTGAGAATGTCCCAAAAACGCACTTTAAAAAAAAATTTTCAAAGTGCGTAATTGTTTGAAAGGGCTTTGCCATATAGAGCTTTTCTGATCTCATTTTGTCCGGCGTCCGTCTGTCTAGCTGTCTTATATGAATCTTAAATATTTTATTGGGTATTATTTGTCAATGAAACCATTGTTAGTGTATACTATTTATAAAAAAAAAAATAAAAAAAAAAATTAGAGGTTTGAAATTATTCATTTTTACCAAGGCTCCACAAGATGCAAAGAGAAACTATCTTTAGATTGGACCAAAGAGGAGATGGACCAGTTTATAAGGAGGAAATACCCCTTGCTTGGAACATCCACTTACAAACTGTGTAAACTGGACAAAAGAAAGCTGGAACCTCTGCCTGAACATTCTACCACTCCAGCATGTATAAAGCAGTGGGGACAAATGAAGTGTTCTGCATTATATATTATGCCTGACGGTGAACTTGATGTACACTGGGTAACCCTCCCTTTATCAAGAATCAAATTTCTAAGCCTTAAATGCAAAAAGACTTATAAATTAAATTGCTGTATTTCATCATATTAGAACAAATGTCACACAAAAATCATTTTATACTAGGTATTGATAGTCAAAGTTCATGTTTTAAAAGAAGGGTTGTAGAAAATAGTATTCATTTGAAAGGAAACCAAATCGCTATATTTTTAAAACTATTTTTAAAAGGTTGAATCAGTGACACCATCCACACAGGAAAGCGACACGCCAGAACAGACACCTTCAGGCAGCAGTACTGGACAGATACCCAGCAGTATTAGACAGATGTCCAGCAGTATTGCACAGATACCCAGCAGTATTGCACAGATACCCAGCAGTAGTGGACAGATACCCAGCAGTAGTGGTCAGATACCCAGCAGTAGTGGACAGATACCCAGCAGTATTGCACAGATACCCAGCAGTATTGCACAGATACCCAGCAGTATTAGACAGATACCCAGCAGTATTGGACAGATACCCAGCAGTACTGGACAGATACCCAGCAGTATTGGACAGATACCCAGCAGTATTGGACAGATACCCAGCAGTAGTGGTCAGATACCTGGCAGTAGTGGTCAGTCCCAGGTACATGTAATATTGTTTAAAAAGTTAATATTTAAGAAATAAGGTATTTTTTTAAAAGTTTTATTGGAATATAAAACGGGTTGGTCAAGTGATAAAAATCCCATGAAGCCCAAAGGGCTTTATGGAAGATTTGATCATTTGCCAACCCATTTTACATTCCAGTAATTTATTTTAGGACCCCTGAATCAGTTAAATCCCTTAGTTCAAGTGTGTAAATGTATTTTATATATTTTTTGATTATTTAAGGTTGAATCGGTGACACCATCCACACAGGAGAGGGACACACCAGAACAGACACCTTCGGGCAGCAGTACTGGACAGATACCTAACAGTTTTGGACAGATGCCCAGCAGTAATGGACAGATACCCAGCAGTATTGGACAAATGTCCAGCAGTAGTGGACAAATACCCAGCAGTAGTGGACAGATGTCCAGCAGTATTGCACAGATACCCAGCAGTATTGGACAGATGTCCAGCAGTAGTGGACAGATACCCAGCAGTAGTGGACAGATGTCTAGCAGTAGTGGACAAATACCCAGCAGTAGTGGACAGATACCCAGCAGTAGTGGACAGATGTCTAGCAGTAATGATCAGTCCCAGGTAACAGAAGGAATCATTTGTACCAGTAGACTGATACATGTATTAAAAATTGTAGATTTAAAAGCAAAAAGTCTAAGTTTTAAATTCATTAATGAATAATTTCATTGGGTTGAAGAGGTAAAACTGTAAACCAACTTTTATTCACGAAAATTTTATTTCACGATTTAATTTATCGTATCAGTATATAGGCCGAGTTCTATTTTGGCTACGATTGAGCTATTTGGGACAGAGTTATGCCCCTTGGACATGGAACAATTTCAATTTTTTTGTGGAGAGGGCATAAGTGTTTTGCAAACATCTCTTTTTACAGGTAAACTACAGATTTGTTTGTGCGGGTACACCAACGGTTCAGTTTAGAGAAGCTAACCCTTCTGTAAACAATGCTGGACCAGTTAGACAGCTTATTGATTTAGAAACCAGGTGATTACTTCTTATCTACTTTTGCCAATAAATAAACTTTTTTGCTATCAATTTAAGCAATTTAATTAAAATCTTAATTATGAACATATACATGTATATTTCACAACAGGTCTTTCATTACACCATCAATAGAAAATGCCATCATTGACCACAACAGAATCAATGACTTTGTCCCAGAGGTGCTTCCTTCTGTATTGTCAAGGTAAAACTTTTTTATTTGCTTTGAAAAATTCTAAGGTGTGAGGGTTTTCTTACACCACTTCCACAAAGTGACTGGAACATATTAAAAAGAAAACACCATTATTTTAATTCATTAATTAACAGTAATAGTAAGGTAAATTCTGTAATTATTGTGAAACTGTACATGATAAACAATGTCATGTGCCATAGAAATTATGCATTTAATTTTTCTGTTGCAACAGTTCACCAGTATCAAATACACTTTTTCCAACTTCAAAAAAAGGCAATGAAATTTGTATTTTTATATACTTTATAGACATTGAAATAAGAAATTCTTTTATTTTTCAGACCAAGTTCCTCTGTAGATGATATAAAAGAATTTATACTACAAAATCGAGAAAATTTCATTAATATGCGATCCGAAGACCCTCTCTTACTAGAAGTAAGGAGGGAACATGTTCTAATGGATGCTATAGCTATAATCAGGTACTCCCAGGAAGACCTTCACAGTCCTCTCCAAATTAAATTTTGTGGAGAGCAGGGGGTTGATGTAGGTGGACTAAGGAGAGAGTTTTGGAGTCTTTTTCTGTATCAGCTCTCGCATTCAATTTTTGTGACAGGTAAAAATTACGTACATTAATGACCATATAATCTGTGGATAATATCTGCAAAAACTTGAACAATGATATCCTGGTGTCAATGATTTTGTTTCCCTTTTATTGACAGGAAAGGAAGGAAGACTTAGTTTCCAAGCAAATTTTATGGAAAGGAAAAAGAACACTTTTTTCCACCTTGGACAGCTAGTTGCATTATCCATTCTTCAAGATGGTCCAGGAGCACCAATCTTCTCAGAGTGTATCACGGACTATATACTAAATGGAAAATACGATTCACTGGACCCAGAGGATTTGATGGAAGGTCCAAAGGAAATCTTGGAAAAAGTACATTTTTTTTCAGTAATAATGTTAATATATTAATAAATGCTAAGAAATCAGAATGTTGTTAGATGGCCAGTGTTTTATTTTTACTGCAGTAAAATTAATTAAATGTGAGTAATGTGGCCAAAGAGTAATCTTACTTCAGTAAGAAATTAAATGATTTTTACTGGAGTAAAAATGATTTTTACTGGAGTAAAAATAATTTTACTGGAGTAAAAATATTTTTACTGGAGTAAAAATATTTAATTGTGAGTAGCATTGGCCAGTGTTTTATTTTTACTGCAGTAAAAATAATTTTAGTGGAGTAAAAATAAATAATTGTGAGTAGAACGGCCAACCATAATCGATGCAACAAACGTGTAGGTGACCTAGACTAGTACTCTTCCCCTCTCGATCATGTCGATTTCACTTGTCGACTTTCTTAGGCCTATGTCGTAAATATCGTATTTTTCCACACGTCTTGATCATCAATACAAATTAGAAAGATTTTTTATTTAAAAATAAGTATAGTTAAACATGTAAATCATAAAAAACTTTAAAAACTTGTTTTTAAATTGTTGTCAGTTTGAATTTTACGACACGTTTAAGTACGAAGACCCACTTGTGGTAAAATGATCAGCAGAATTCATCCTTAATATGAAAATCAGAACAAACATTTTCATTTTTGTAACGTTTTCTTTATACTGTATCATGATATGAAAAGTTAATTGAAGACCATTTCTTTTTATGTCCCCGTAATCGAAGAATGTCTATCTGGCGGTCTGTTTGTCCGCAAAAATTTAACTTGACCATAACTTATCATTTATTGGAGCTATGACTTTCATATTTAATATGTGTATTCCTTGTGACAAGACCTTACTTTGGGTACCACCTTTTGACCTTGGAGATTTCCGTACTTATGAAAAAAACTTTAACCTTGGCCTTAGCTTTTGAACGATAAGGGCTGGGGTTTTCAGACTTCACATAAGTTATCCTTGTTACATTAAACCTTTCTTAAGAAACCATCAACTTTGACCCTTTGATCTTTGAGTTTGACCTACCTTTCAAAAACTTACCCGTAGCCATTACTATTGAACAAGTTGTGCTAGGGCTTTCCTATTTTTGCAGTTGTATTTCTTGTGAGAAGACCCTGGGTACCAATATATTTAAACTGCATTTAAGAAAAGTTTAATCTTCATTATGTTGCCATACAGGGGCATAGCTGTTTCACAAACACATCTTTTTATATATGAGGAGTTGCGGATAAGAGATGGATACCGCAAAGCGTAACAGACGGACGGACGGACATCCCGATCACTATATACCCTCCCGCTTTTCAAGCGGAGGATATAAAAATATATAATACTGCTGATTTTTTCTGTCAGTACGATGATTTCCACCATCGAAAAGCAATGTTTACATAACCCTTGAGACTCGATAAATCTTTTACTCCTTTAGATTCTGAATATTCCCAATTAGCTCAGGTGAGCATTTTGGCCAATATGCTTCTTTATCTATTTTTTTTTTTTTTTTTGCCATCCTAAAAATTTCAGCTTTAATCCACAGGGAGTCATTTTTCTACGGGGGTCATTTTTCTTCACGTACACAGGAAAAATGTCCACATGTGTTAAACATGTGTTTGGTTTCACATGTGTTCAACACGTTTTTCACATGTAATACATGTGTGTAAATAAACACATATAAAATATGTGTTTTATTTATATGTAAAACATATATAATATACACATGTAATACACCTGTGAGATAATATATATGTAAAACACATGTTTTTCACCACATATGTATAACACATGTTATATATATGTAATATATGTGTGCGAAAATACAGATGAATTATACATGTTTAATTTATATGAAATATATGTGTATTCATATTCACATGTTATACACATGTTAAGTTTTATCTCATATGTGTGTGTACATTAATTCAAAAGAATTTGTAAATGTTAGTAAAATTTTACTCATGTAAAGTTTTACTTTGTTTATCCCCCCCCCCCCTTTCCCTTCTAAAAAAACTTTCACAATTTTTTTTTCTGTAATAATGCATTTATCAGACAAAATTGATAAAGAATGAATTCATTTTCTTTTCATTTTAAATCTTTTGGGCTTGGCTTACTTCTTGAGTAAAATTAAAATAATTCCGTATTTGTCTCCGGGCCGGTTTTGTCTTTTATCGGATGAAAATGTACGTCATTTTTGACGTCACTGCTGCAGCAGACGTGCTGGGTGTATTGGAAAGGTAAGTGATCTCCAAACAATTTTAAAAGACTTTTAATTCATATTGTTTTAATATCATTTCATTATAGTTACAGGTGCATATGAACTTTCTATATACATGTAATACTCTTATCATTGTGACTTGTCATGCATTTCGTAAACCTAATGATAGTGATCTGTAAGTAATTTTGGTGAAAAATGTTTCTCAATCTGACTGAATGTAAGCACGGGCACTGGAAGTTAATTAATGTAAATATATAGTATGTGTATGTATAAAAAAAGACCCTTCTTTTTTTTTATACATACACATACTATATGGGTCATTTTCAAAAAATGTCCAAATTCCTGTTATACAAGCTTTTTTGAAAATTTTGCAATAAAAATCAATTTTTTTTTTACCCGATGAATTTAACAACAATCTATTAGTGTAGAAAAAAATTAAGTGCGATTAAAAATTGACTTGAATACTGAAAAAAGTCCTTCAACCTGACTAAAATTAAAGAAAATTGCTTGTGATTTCGCCGGATGTTTGACTTCAACTCTGATTATTGATGTATTAGATATAATTAAGCAGTGTAAAATGACCTTTATTGTGTTGTACATGTTTAATACTGTCTAAATGCATGCTAAAATGTGATTGAAAAAGACTAAGAATATGATTTTTTTTAATGGTAAGTGTGTGTTATTTTTGCCGTGTCCTTGGAGTAACCAGGACATAAAAGTTATCTGTAACAGTTATCTTTCCTAAAGAAACTCTTCACTATCAGCCTCCTTCTTTTGGTCTTGTTCCCGCCAAAATATCATGAGACACTTAACACAGATCTTTTATACCATAGGCACAATATGTGGTTGAAGGCAAGTTTGATTGCAATAGTAATTTATTTTTGAGTCCTAGGAGTTACTTCGATATAGTGATGATAAATTAATTTGCCATTTCTTTGATGCATTGAGCAAGTTTGTAACAAAATACCTATCATCTAGGAGCTGTGCTTTATGTTCATAAGTCAGTTATTGCTTTTATACTTCCAATTATTTATATAATAATTCCCTGGTGTTACTGTCCATTTTGTTACTGCAAGAAAAGTTACTCTAAGGACGTATCTAATTACTCCATGGACAATTTACATAGAAAAAAATTAAAAAGAATGAAAGTTGGAGTCATGTGTTTTATTTTCCTCCCTTATTAAAACTAACCAGTAACTAATTTTGTTTTAAAATGACAAATTATTTACTAAATGTTTTTACCATTTGAAAATCATATGATTTTGCAGTCTTGGTTATGCAAAGGACAGAAGTGGGTAACTCCGCAGACCAATTGAAAAAAAAACCCTTTAAATTGCCAATTTTAATACAACATTTGTGTAAAGTTTATTACAACATAAAATAACAGAAATATTTTTATCAAATTGGCATTTATTTTTCATATTATGTTTCCATGAGCTATAAATTAATTCAATAAATAATTTGAGTTACACAAAGGACAATGTTTGGTAACACAATGGATGTAAAAACGATTAAATATTTATGTTATTAATATACTCTTGCATGTTCTTTTGTTTCTGTAGGAAAATATACAACTTTTATTCCTTTTGAATAAATTGAAATATCAAAATTCATTATGTAATGCAATCATATCCCATTTTATGCTCTTTAAAGTAACCTATGGTAACACCATAGACAAATTCAGTTACTCAAGGGACACAGCAAGGATTAAAGATAGAAAAATGAAACAAGCGTATTACATATGGAGTGGTGATTGTGTTCATTGTATTGCAGAAAACAAATGTGGTAGGATATTGCAATTCAAGTAACAATAAATAATGAAGTGCTAAAAATATATGATGGTTAAAAATGGTAACACAAAGGAAGTTTTAGGTAACACAAGGGAATGTGAAATAAGGCAGAATATGATTTGTTTTCTTTAGTCTGGGGATTCTAGTTATGTTCTCTTGATGAAGATGATGTAAACAAGACACATTAAAAAGTTGCAATGAAGCCAATAAAATCCAAGACGTAAAAGGTAGATTTATATCATTGAATTGAAAATACCTTTATCAGATACGGAACATTTCTTTGCAAATGCATTTAAAGTTTTTTAATCATATAAACCCTTAGATGAAAAAGTCACAAATTGTTCATAGCTGTTCTAAAAGGATTTCAAAAGATGTTTTTAAGGAGACAATGTACCAGTCATTACCATAGAATACAGTTTTGCATTTAGTCGAGGATGTTCTTCAGATTTGTCCAACTGAAATCCCTCATGACTGTGTTCGAATTGTTCTACATCCTGTAAAAGTTGGTGCTGAAAGAAGTTTTTAACCTTGTATGTACATAAGCTTTTGGAAAGTGGTGGTGAAGATTATATAGTCGAGGCAGCATTGGACAACAACAAGGCCAGATATGGTGGCAGACCACTACATTTCAAGCCACTTTGTTTGATTGTTACCCTGAAGAACTGTCAATGAAAGTTTGGCAAATGATCAGTGGATACAAGAGCAAAAAGGGCAGAAAAATATCAATGAAAAAAATGAAAAAGAGTACAGATTAAAAAAAGTCAAGAGTTCCTGATAGGAAATCCGACTAAAGAAACTGAAAAGACTGACACCCTGGAAGAGAAAGAAATGGAGTCAATAATGAACATCAGACTACAGATGAAGAAAAATCAGATCCCTTGGAAGAGAGACTGGATAAAGATACAGAAAAATTGAACTAAAATGTATGCACAGGGTTAGACAGAACATAAAAGCACGTTCCTTTTTAACAGGCCAAAAACTGTAAAAGATTAAAGCTGGTATAGCATTGCTAATGTTTTAATAATATTGTCACTATCATATCTTGTAGATGTGTATTATGTAGAGAGCTCACTGTGGAAAGAGGCTAGCTGTAGATAAATGAAATGAAAATGTAAAATCCATAAAAAGATTAATGCATTCTATATGTTTGAAATCTGGTCATTTACAAATACATGTACATGTTCTAGTTTCACAATTATTTCTTTATTAAAAATTAGTTCTAGCTGATCTAAGACTCATCTATATGTTAACCTATGGATCTTTTAAAGGTGTCCTTTGTGTTATTTTTTGTCATTGGTGTTACAGCTTCTGCTTGGATATGTAAATACACTAACAAGTACTGATCAATGATTCAAAGTCATGTGATAGTAATTATTTATTATTCGGGCATAACAATTTGATTTCATTTTTCTACTGTCATATATCTTATGATTGGATAGTTATGTCTATGTCGTTACTGTTTTATCCTTGGTATTACTAGTCAGACTCAAAATGTAAAGTGAAAGAAATCCCCCGCCAATTTTTTATGTTAAAACCATATACTCTTATATTCACCTCTAGGGTAATTTCATCACTATCCTTTTCGGAAGGAAGGAGAACAACTTTATTGTTTCTTTCTAAGTATTACACAAAATATCCTTAGTGTAACCTTTATGTCCTTTGTGTTATGCAAATATCCTTGGTGTTACCAACACATTTTTCCTATATTTATGTTCTAAATCTTTATACAATTTTATCGAAACTTGCAACACAATACTGTCGTTTTCTAATACTAAGTTTATTTGCAAAGCAAGTATTTTGTGCCGAGGTAAATGATGTATGCCTTAAGTAAACGTGTAAAATATAGACAAAAGTTACAACACTTACAACTTCCAGCTATACTTTATCTGATAATTTTCTGTTATGAAACTTCAGTTTGATTCAATAGAATAATTTTATTACTATGTTGAGATTGTTATTCTAAAAACCTTAAATTTTTTTTTAAAATTATGATTTTACTATGACTTTTAACTAAGTAACACCATGGACATTTATTGTTGGGTCCATGTACATATATAATGTTTTTTTTAGTATATGTTAATAAAATTCTTTGTGCTTTAACATTGTTTATGCATCTATGATGTTTGAATGCTAAAATAAAACTTTAAAAACTTTAGATCGCCACATTTATTTTTGCAAAATACTGGTGGTGGAATTTGGACAAATTTTGAAAATGACTCTTATACATGATATATTTATATTAACTTCCTGTGCCCGTGAATGTAAGCGGTTACATGTTAGGCTAAACATGCTAAAGGCATTACTATTTTTTATAGCGAGCGCAGCGAGCGTCGCGAAGGCGAGCTCAATAGACTAACGTGTAAGAACAGAGAAAATTCGGATTGAAATCTGTACATACGTCAGCCAAATTTCTCTGTGCAACATTCCCAGAATTCCTGCACTACCCAATGTCCTTTGCGCGAATTTTGCCGAATAAATAAATAAATAATAACGTAAAGCATATATCAGACTTTCAGTTTGTAGAAATCTTTCAAAGAAACAAGAAATAACTCTGCAATGTTTTTCGACAAAAATTGCACTAGTTCTATAGTTTCAAACAGACGCTCGGCTGTCTCCGTAAGCTCCGACGAGCTTTGTGACGTCGTATGACGTCACAGCTAGTCGAGAAGTCTCGTGCGGCTTGACGTTCGAAGTGGCTGATCTCAAGTGTTTTCGATGGTACAACTGCGCTCGCCCCAACGGTCACACCGTAAAACATATTAATTTGTATACAGGTAAGTAATTTTGGATAAATTTGTTTCTGAATGAACGTAAACATTACATGTTAGGCTATTTTTTAAAGGCATTATTGGTTTTCCTTTTGTTACGTACTGATATGAAAGTGAAAGTAGAAACCTTGAAACCATTGTGTCTGTCAGTTGGTGTTCATGTATGTTGAGATGGCTGTAAGTCGATTCTTTCATCAACTTGATAACAAGTGTTTGTTTTTATGGCCTATAGATGCATGCAGTACCTTGAGTTCAGTGTCACATTGCTGCGTCTAAAAAGCCCAAAGCTGATAAGACTGGCGATTGATCCTAAAGCTGATTTGACAGAAGATTGTATCTTCACAATATTAAAGGTAAAAATAAATACTTGCAATAAAAAATCAAAGTAAACATCTGTAATGACTCCTTCATGACAAAATATTTCTTGATACATTGTAATTTCTTTTTGTTCCTTTATAATTCTACATTATATTGTTTGCACGACTTCATAAATAATAAGTCCAACTCAATACTACAATAACATTATTCTATATTATAAAACAGTTTTAATCCAGTGCACTTTTAAAATATGGAAAGTATGAATAGAATTTGCTGGCTTTAAAAGCTATGAAACTGGTACATGTACTGTAAATGACTTCAGGGGGGAGGGGGGTATTGAATTTTTGAATTTCAGTTAAAAATTAATAATAACAGCGACATCCAACTTTCAAGGTACAAGTACATGTGCATATGTGTTGATTGTTGAAAGTACATCAGCTAGCTAATCCATTGGATATATACATCTATTGTGTACCGGTATTCATTACCTGACATTTATTATTTTTTTCCAACACTAGAGAACATAGTTTCTGGTAAAATGTAAGATATTAATTAAGACTATTAAGAACCTACAAACATGTACTCTCTCTTTTTTGTAGTTGTAGTTTTGTAGTTTAATTAAGTTTTAGTTATGCTTAGAAGATATCTACTGTGTGAATATTTGTTTTACAGGAAACTGAGGTTCAATATACAGTCAGCGTCTCATAAGAATAAATCCCAAGATCCAAGACTTGCTTAAAAGCTTAATTAAGGTAACTACACACTGTTAAATAAACTTTGTTATATTCTTCCCAACAACGTTTGTGATATCCTGGAATCACACTGTCTGTTTTTCTTCCTGTCTACTTCTCTGTAGTATTTTTCAATTTTGTCCAGAAATAAAATATTTGTGTCAGAATCTTCTTAATTTTTGGCAATATGAATTAGTAATACTGTTTGAACATTCCAAATTTAATTGACAAAATAAAAAAAAATGCTTTTTATGACTTTATTATGAAGCATATCTTCCAACAGTGTAATTGTCTTGCAAATTACATAGGATTCCGAAAAACACCTAGTATAGCATATATAACATTAGTTTTATCTCTTATCATATCTCTGTTGGTGAATTGGGCATACATTTGTTTGAGAACTTTAATATTACTTGTAGAATTGATTTTGTAATTTAAGAATTGTTTTATTTTTACTTTTGAAATTTTTGTAGAGACCATTCTGTGCCACAAAGAAATTGTTCAGGAAAGGGAGAAATGGTGGATTTGCATTAATGGTACAGTTCAAAGAGAGTTCAAAATGGTCAAGCTCATGGAAGATCAGAGGGAGGACAACTGAAGAAAACTGAAAGATTCAGAAGGAAAAAGAACAAGAAAATATATGAAATAATTATGAAATTGGGAGGATGTACACAATCTTGTCTGCATTTGACCTGTAAAGATTTAATTCCCATTCTTATTTGTATGCTGTAATATCAAATAACTTGATTTTTCCATAAATTTACAATAGAGAATACATGACAAATGTTATATGTGATATTTCAATTTTGCTTTGGACACTTTCATGACAAATCATATAATTTATAAAAAAGTGAATGGACTAATTATGTTATTCATTTGTACATGTATGCATGTTTAACTATTTAATCATTTTGTGGAAATCTTATAATTGTACTCAACTTAGAATTTGTAAAATATATGTATCGACAAATGCTACTGACTTGTTTGTATACTTTCCTGTTTAGAAAGTACACTGAAAAATAAGTTATTTCTCTTGATGAAAATAATTTATCAAAAAAGTTGTAAGCATTTTAAGATATTAGTTTTCAAATATTTAACCCTTGAAGATAGATCATTGGAATGTAATGAATTTTCATCTAAAGCAGAAATATCTGATTTTTAAATGTGTACAAAAATGTGTTTTTCCTTGTGATAAATATTGAAAGAGAACACATGTATCTATTTCATATGATTTACATATGCTGCCCTTTTCATATGATTCACATATGTGGACAGACATGAAAAAAGTATAAAAATGATAATAAGTAAAACAGTAATATTATACACGTATAATTCACATATAAAGTATAACATATATAAAACACATGTTTAACACATGTTTCATATGTATAAATATACAGTGTGTTTATTTTTACACATGTTAAACACATGTGAAACATATGTTTAACATGTGTAAAAATAAACACCTTATACATGTGTGCTCCTTTTATGTGTTTTACATGTGTAAAAAATATATGTTAAACACATGTTTAACATATGTTTAACACATGTGGACATTTTTCCTGTGTAGGTTCTGCAAATTTTTAGGGTGGTGACACTTTTTCTACGGGCAAAAGGGTCATTTTTCGACGTCGAAAAATGACCGGGGGTCATTTTTCGACAGCGAAAAATGACCCCCGGTCATTATTCGATGGGGGTCATTTTTCGTCTTTACACCGGACCTGATAACATCCCAAAAAGAGTCTTAAACAATGCGCAGACCAAATAGCACCATCATTGTTGATTATATACCAAAACTCTCTAGATACTGGGAAACTTCCAAAAGACTGGCTTAGCGCAAACATATCGTCTTTCTATAAAAAGGGTGATAGACATTCAGCTGAAAACTACAGACCAGTCTCCTTTACATCAGTACCTTGCAAACTACTAGAACATATTATAAGTCGACAAATGATGAAGCATCTGAAAAGCAATAAAATACTAACATCCTTGAATCATGGCTTCAGGTCTGGATATTCATGTGAAACCCAGCTCGCTATTACCATGCATGACATGTTTTAAAAAATCCTGCGATAAGGGCCATCAAGTAGACGTAGCAATCCTTGATTTTCCAAAGCATTCGACACTGTCCCCCATTATAGATTCCTACACAAACTCAATCAATATGGGTTAAGAGGAGACATCCATAACTGGTTAAACAAATTTCCTTACAAAAAGGACAATGAGAGTTCAGTTGTAAGGGGAATACTCAGATGACACCAACGTGGAATCCGGGGTACCGCAAGGAACAGTACTTGGGCCTATACTTTTTCTCTGTCACATAAATGATCTTCCTGGTCACTGTGATGTACCAATACAGATACAGATATTAAAACTATTATGGACTGTTAAGACGGGTGACATCACCAATTATCAGGTCTGAGTAGGACAGCCCTACTCAGACCTGATAATTGGTGATGTCTCCCATCTTAACAGTCCATAATTGTATCATACTTCATGCTGCCACAAAATAAAAAAAATCTACGATATAAATTTTACAAAATATATTTTTGAAGATGTAAACACCCTTTTGGGGGATAACAAGTTTTACAATCTATCTGTGCAAAATTTGAAAATAAATAAATTATAATGTTTGCATGCACATGTTCGCCCGGTATGCATACATTTCTAACTATTGCATATGGAAAAAAAACTTTTGAACATGTTATCCCAACATGCCCAAGAGTAGCTTATATTATTTAATTTTTTTATATATAGGTAACATGAATACGGCTTTTTGTACAGTTGACTATTTTTGACGTCATAAACTTTTTATGCGCCCGGATTTATAGATCCGAGGCGTATATTTTTTTTTGTTCTGTCTGTCTGTTTGTTTGTCTCCAAACTTTAACCCCCGCCATGAAGTTTGAACTATAAAAGATAGAGATTTCATATTTGGTACGCATGGTCCACTAATAAAGCTCTTTAAAATGACACCAAGTTTAATGACCTTGTGAGCTCGACTGTGACCTATATGCTAAAAATAGCTTTTTTGTTTTCAAATTTTAACATTCACCATAACTTTTTAACTATGTAAGATAGAGACTTCATTTTTGGTATGCATACTCCACTAATTAAGATTCCACTAACTAAATTTCAAAGGAGATCAAAGTCAATGACCTTGTGACCTTGACTGTGACATATAAGCTAAAAATAGCTTTTTTAACCTTCACCAAAAGTTTTGAACCATAAGAGAACTTTATATTTGGTATGCATACTCCACTAATTAAATGACTTCATGTTGAATTACCTTTTGACCCTGTCTGTGACCTATATGCTAAAATAGCTTTTTTTGGAACTCTGTTGCTACCGGGCGCATAGTGTTTAACAAACACAAATTGTTATTTACAGTTTTAATAAAATTTCGAAAGGTTTCAACCAGGCTAGAACTCACAGAACCGTCGTCTGCTCTCTGGACAGGAGCCGCAGAGAGCAGGATGCACTGTTGTTTGATTTGTACAAAAGAGAACCAGTGCATTTCTGTATTACACGATAAAAAGAATGGGACATGTCAGCTTTTTAATTTTCTTCTCAACTGGGATCAACTTGGAGACGAAAAAGAAACTGAATATCTTATAATGGACAATGCAGCAAGCGACAGAAGACGTGAGTATATTTCTTTCATGAAGGATCGTTGTTTGTACAAGTAGAAATTCCCATAACAACACCAGCTTAACTACTATTTGTGTACATCAATTGACATATCAACGTAACTACTGTACGCCTACATAAATTAACATGTTCAAAATTAACAGCTATCACTGGGTACGGTGGAATTGGTGTGTCACAGGAACATTATTTATGATTTACTATGATTGTGTATGTGCGCATACGTCATTTCATTTATTCATTCATACATGGTTTGCAAGTTCATGACCTTTGATATCATACGGTGAGTATGGAATGTGTATTGGTGTGTTTGACTGGTTTTTCCAGTCACTGCGCATGACTGGCGCGAATTTTATCAACATTTGCATGAGATAATATTTTTTATCACGTATGGAAACCCTTTGAACGACAGACGTTACTTCAGACTTGTGTAGTAACCTTAACTATCCTGATAAATAGGAGTGATTAAATTCTGTCTACATGCCATGTAAATTTAATTAAACTACAATTTAATTGTAAATTTACAATTTACAAAAACGTCCGTCCGTCGGTCGGTCTGTCTGTCTGTCCGTCTGTCTGTCTGTAAACAATTTTTCAAAATGCTACTCCTCCTACAGTTTTGTTCTGATTTAAATATAACTTGGCACACAAGTAGACTACACCAAGATACATAATTCTGTGTATCGGTTTTTGATTTCGATGAACGGTGTTGCCTTGTTGACTAAAAATAGAAATTTCTGTGAAATTCTTTCAAAATGCTACTCCTCCTACAGTTTTGGACTGATTTCAATATAACTTAACACACAAGTAGACTACACCAAGATACATAATTTTGTATATCGGTTTTTGATTTTGATGAACGGTGTTGCTGTGGTTACTAAAAATAGAAATTTCTGTGAAATTCTTTCAAAATGCTACACCTTCTACAGTTTTGGTCTGATTTCAATATAACTTGGCACACAAGTAGACTACACTAAGATACATAATTCTATATATTGGTTTTTGATTTCGATGAAAGGTGTTGCCGTGGTTACTAAAAATAGAAATTTCTGTGAAATTCTTTCAAAATGCTACTCCTCCTACAGTTTTGGTCTGATTTCAATATAACTTGGCACACAAAGAGACTACACTAAGATACATAATTCTTTGTATTGTTTGCCAAAATTCAGCAAATAATTACTGATTGTGTATGATTTACTTGAAGACACATAGCATTGATAGACATCATTTTGGGAGTAGCTTACACTGTTTTAAAGAAACATTTAACTGTAAAAAGCTAAGTATTCAAAGATCACCCTATATTTTGAAAAAAAAGATTGAAAACAGGAGACTTATTGTTCACAGAACAATAAGAGGTCTTTCCACCTTATTTGAATTTTTCAATTTTGTTTTATTTCTGCTTCCTTAAAATTAAAGTCCATGAATAAGAAACCGAAATTGTTTTAAAGGATAGAAAAAAAATGAAAATTTAAAAAAAAAAAAAAGTGAAATGACCTTGACCTTTGACTTTGAGAAAATATTCAAGGTCGAAGATCAAGGGTCACAATGCAATTGACCCCATGCTTCTACGACTTACATTTTACAAGTTATAAGGTTTTATATTAAGTACATAGAAGTTAAAGGGCAATAACTCATATAAGGGGGGTCATCAGATCCTTTCGCATTTATACAGTGAAGTTAGGCCTAAAGACCCTTAAGACATTAGTGAAAGTTTGGTGTCTCTATGGTCTATAGTTTGGGAGGAGTAGCGATAACAAGATCTTTCGCACAAGGGGCAATAACTTTTAAAAGGGTTAATCTTTGGAGACAAGAATCAATGATGCATAGATATTGAGTATATGTTGAAAGACCAAAGAGATATAAGAAGAGCTAAATTTCTCATTTTTGGAATGACCTTGAACTTTGACCTTTACATGAATTTTAAGGTCAAAGGTCAATGAATCTTATGGAGTTGGTCCCATGTCTCTACGACTTGTTGTTTTGAAGATTTTTAATTATTTGTAAAATTCAAAAAGTTTCAGGGGCAATAACTCATTAAAGGGTTCACCGAATGCTTTCACAATGAATAGATTGAAGAGTCCCCATAATTAGTCAAAGACATTGGTGAAGGTTTAATACCTCTACGCTTTACGGTTTCGAAGGAGTAGCGATAATAAGCATTTCTTGCGAAAGGGGTCAAGGTTCATTTATGCAGGGTGAACTGCAATAATCTTTTACTGAGTACATTCTTATCGACTAAATATTTTTTCGATAAATCTTGAAACTCAAAATCACACGGCAGAAAAATAATAAAAAAGGAACAGAAGAAACAGAAGAAAATCAATAGGTCTTTCCACAGAAAGGTGGAAAGACCTATTGACAGCATGTATTAATATCTAAACAATTTTTTTAAAACATAAGAAATTGTACTGATTTACGTTTATCTGAAATTCAAACTGAAACTTGTATCTATTGCTTAAAACCCTCGAAATAAAAATTACAATAAGATATACTTGACAATAACAGAAAAGGTCTGAGAAGAGCAAAGAATTGCAAGAGCACAATTAAAGACAGATTTATTTGCCATTTTCTTAAATATTAGTGGTCTTGTTGTTCAAATTCATACTCGTGGATGCATTTTAAATTCCGAAGGAGTCTAGAAAGCAAAATCTTTGCAAGAAATCGAAAGGTTTATGAGAGGAAGGAACCAAAATCAGGAATCCGCTACATTAAATTTCTTCATGACACCGTCCAAAACAGCAAGCCCTTAAAAGTGAAGGAGTTTTTGGGATAAACAGAAAGTTAATGTTTTGTCACATCAACAATATTCGCCAGATCTTTCACCTTGTGACTTGTTTCATTTTCCAAACTTGAAAAAAATCTTTTTAGAAAGAAGTAACAAGTCAATGAAATCATAGGATCTGCCATTTTCAAGTATACGAAGGGCCATACTCATAAATGAGTTCTAAAAACAATCAGGCATTGGTTAAAAATGTTACGGACGTGTATTTTATTTAAAAGAGAATATTTACGTAAAATCATTAAGACTATATCATTGAAAAGCGTTTTTTATTCTTTCCGAGCATCGAGGACATCATTTATTGAACTGCCCTCGTATTTTTATTGATCATGCTAAAACTACCGTTTGATATTTTTTAAAATAAATGTTTTATCTACATTTACTACGAGTGATGACTGATTAATTTTGAATATGTTTCGATTTGGTGATGACTGGAACAATTTTTTCTAATTATTCATCCGAAAGATGACAGGGATATCTTATGAAGTAAAATTACGAAATCTTTGCTGTTACTTTTGAATCAGCAATTTACATTAATGCATCGTTTCCGATGTTAAGTGGTGTTGTCACCAAAAGTACTTTGATTTGATACATTTTGCAATTCCTGAATTTTTTTTTCATGTTCAATATAGATAATGAAGGGTTATAAACGTCAGATTCAATAATGATGATGAGCATGATGATGATGATAATGAAAATAATCATCATTATTATCATCAATCAATCAACATTAATATCATCATCAGCATCAACATCAATATAATCATCACCAGCATCATCATTAACATCACCATCAATCAACATCATCATCACTAACATCATCATTATCATCATCAATATAATCAACATCAATCAACATCAATATTATCATCACCAACATCATCATCACTAACATCATCATTATCATCATCAACATCAATCAACATCAATCAACATCATCATCATCAACATTATCAACATCAATCAACATCAATAATATCATCACCAACATCATCATTAACATCATCATCATCATCAATATAACAATACTAATACTAATGATGTGAATTATTATTTTTATTATCGTAAAATGTTGTTCTGTAAAATTTTATTTGTGTTTAATGAAGTACCCCAGTCGTGTTCCGACATCGCTAGATGCTCTGGAATAACTAAGGATGGTGAATACTGGTTGTATCCTGCAGTAACGAATGGGACGAGGGTGAAGATTTATTGTCATGACATGCAAACAGATCCGAAGGAGTTTGTCACTCTGAGGAATGAAAACTCTTTTATTCAACACGACAAATCAAACTGGTTAAGTACTAACAACGAACGCTGCACATCTACATATACTCCTCCACTAAAGAAAGCAGTTTTTTTGAAAGTGGCCATTAACATGCAGGTAACACTACATACGGAGTTATTTTGCAGTTGCAATCAATTTTTGTCCGTTTTAACTATTTCAAATTACATGTATACCGTCTTCTTACAAATTGCCCAATTTTAAATTCACCCGACTGTGATTAGGGCGAAAGGGGAAATTCGAGGGCAAAAATTTCCTTGGATATTTAGCAATTGTCTAAATTACTCGTAAATATCTCAGAACATTTAGAAATGAATATTAAAAGTTAACAAAAATGTTGAGATTTAATATTGAACAAAATTTGGAATCGAAATGAGGATGACGTTTACTCGGGTTTCAGAAGTCAGACATGAAATTTCATAAACTGTAATAATTATGTTAAATCAGGAAAAATCTTTAAAAACCTTTTTCTCAAGAACCACTGGACCAGAAAAGCTGAAACTTATGTGGAAGTATCCTGGGGTAGTGTAGATTCTAAATTGTTCAAATCATGACCCCCGGGGTCAAAAATTGTTCTAAATGGATGAAATAATCAAGTTTTAACTCAAAATCAATTTTAAAAATTTAATATCTTATTTTTTGAAGAAAATATACAGAAACAAAAGTCAATATTAATATATGGTGATGCAGGGGAAATTCAGACAATTTTTCTTTATTTTTCATTTTTGTCAAAATTAATAATTTCTTGCAATATCAATAACAATGTAAAAGTTGTTTTTTAAAACATCATTTTGCAAATATTGTGTATGTGAAAAGTTATGAATTATTTCAACCAATTCAATGCTGAGCCTATGAAATAAATAAGTTTTAAACCTTGCCATCTCTTCTGCAATTTGTGAAATAAAATCTCTCTCTCTCTAAATTTGGAAACTGTTCATTTTCTTTATCTTTCATAATATACCTTGTATGTAAGTATTTCGTATAGTATGACAAAAGTGATGATTACACCAGTATAATCTTTGCTCTTGCAATATTTTCTGATGATTTTGACGCAATTTAATTTGATATTTCTTGTGGAACATAAATTATGTCTTTCTGTATATTAATATAACTATAGGATATGTCTGTGAATGGAACAGATTATACGTTCGCGGTGCGTACTGGGAATTTCAGTCTCCCTTTTGGACTAACAAGTGACTGTGCTGGAGAAATAGGCTATGCCTCAAAAACCTGTCCTCGATTCTCCGGAGCAAAAATCAATACTCGAGGAACTGGGATGATATTTGATCCTACTGTAAGTTGAATTTAAAGAAATAAAGTCAAATGTCCTTGAAGAATTAACAAGAGGCCCACGGGCCTTATAGGTCCCCTGAGTATTGTGTAACAACTTTCAAACAATTAACTTTGGTTCGTGTTTTAAACCAGAGGCCATGAAATTCACAATTCACAATTTTGAAAGAGGCACCATTACTTATAATTATAAACTTAGCATGATTACTCTATTTACTTATTACCCAGAGGTAGATCAGAGTAAGAAAGAGAAAATGCACTTCAAATTCATAACCAGTTTTGCACCTCACCCCCAAAGGAACCACTGACCCTGCGGCCACATATATCAAAATTTTGCAATTTTTATCATAAAATGGTTGATACCAAAGAGCAGATTTTAAAGCAATTTAATTTGATATTTCTTGTGGGGCATAAAAAATAACCATTTTGCTAGATGCACCTTTCTTCATCATAAATATATATAATTGGATCATTGGTATAAAACCCAGGAGCAAAGGAAAAGATTTTCAAAGAATTAATGTATTTTCACTATATTTAGAGCCCTGACACCAGAACCCCTGACCCTGGGGCCATAAAATTCAAAATTTTGGAAAAACCACTCTTGCTCATCATAACTATATACTTAATTTGTTTATTTAATACCCAGAAGCAGAGAAAAAGATTTTCAACTAATAAACGCATTTTCACTATCTAATCAATAGAGCTCCTCCCTAGCACTAGAAACCCTGACCCTGGGGCCATAATATTCACAATTCTAAAAGAGGTACTCTTGCTCATCATAACTATGTATTTAGTTCATTTATTTAATAACCAGAAGCAGAGAGGAAGATTTTCAAAGACTAAATGCATTTTCACTATAATTATCAATAGAGCCCCGCCCTAACACCAGAACCCCTGACCATGGGGCCATAAAATTCATAATTTTGGAATAGGCACTTTTGCTCATCATAACTATGTACTTAGTTAGTTTATTTAATAGCCAGGAACACAGAAAAAGATTTTTAAAGAAATTATGCATTTTCACTATATAATCTATATAGCCCTGTCCTAGCACTAGAACCCCTGACACTAGGGCCATGAATTTCAAAATTTTTGTAGAGAACTCAATGCATATTACATTCATACCAACAGTTTGCTTGCTTCGTGTCCAAAAGTAAAGAAGAAGATTTTTAAAGATTGTAATAATTTTAGTGGTTTTGGCCCCACCCCTAAGGCCCCAGGGGCATGGGGACCATAAAATTCACAATTTATGTTCTTCTTTACCCATAAATGCTGTATATTAAATTTGGTTGAAATTGGTTCAGTGGTTTCAGAGAAGAAGCTGAAAATGTATCATAACTATCATAACATCATAGATTTTATACAGTGTTAAAGGAAATGTTGCAGATTTCATGTTGTGACACTATGTAATTTAAAATGCGCGAAAATCGCATCAATTGTTGTCTAGTTTTAAAGAAAATTCAAATAAGAATTTGATACTTTCAATAATCACGGACATACAGATGGGAGGGACAAAAAGACAAAATACCAAAGTCCATTTATATCCCCGTTTTAAAAGAGGTGTATGATAATAATTAGAACAAACTCTATTTATTTTCAGATTGTATTCGGTATAGTGAGGGGCCATATGGCTAGTATACTGGATTTTCAGCGTTCAGCAGACGGAGCAGAAATGTACTTCCGGTGTGGCGGCTGGTGTGGACGATGCGGTCCAGTTGAAGAAGAAATGAAATTTATTTTGACATCAGAAGCGGGTGAGACATCTTAACTCTTTGGTTTGTTTTATGAATTTGTCTCAGTCGAAATTTGGGAAGTTGATACACATATATACTGAAAGGAAAAAGAAACGCAGGGTAAATTTTTCAGGTGAATTAAATTTGTTTTTCTTAAAATATGTTTTAGTTTTCCCATCTAACTTTTAAAAAAGATATAGCCAAATTCCTATTTGATTTTGTCAAATAATTCATGAGTTATTAAAGCTCAAATGACGATACCCCCCAAAAGTGAAAATCGAAAACTCTCATTATCTTCAATGTCTTTCCCGTGCATTTGTCAGGGCCTTATTTCTCCTTTGCATGGCATTTCCTCAGAGCGTTTATCTTTCAAACCCTGGCTATATTTGGCATGGGTAACTACGCAAAAAAATAATTCAAACGGCGCGCGCATGCGCCAGTGAGAGGAAAGCAACTGTAAGTTGACTGGCTCAAAAATCCAAAATGCTGAATTGTGTTCTTTCAAATTTCGTATGAATGTAATGATTATAATCGTCTACTGTATAAATGGCTGTCTTTGTGGTAGTAAGGTGGCGATTTAAGAGATGGCAGGACGAATAACCCGCTCCTAACATGGCTCTGTTTCGTGTTAACGTCGTCGTCACGGTTGATTGAAAACCGTTCCAGACCCTCTCTGACAACGGGTAACAAGTTTTATGGGCGAAAATTTACAAGAAAATGCTTTGTAAACCGATGTTGCCTTTTTCATTAATTAGGCAATTCGAAAACAAGACCCCATTGAACTTCCGTAAACTGTGCCAAGATTGCTAGAAATTCATAATGTCTCTTAATATTGAAAAACGATGTGCATACTTCATATGCATCAAATAATGCAAAAGATTTGTTGACAAACTCGTCGTTATCAAATTGCACGTGTTTTGGACTTTTTAGCGTTTTCCTTACGTGACGTCATAAATTTTACGGTTGAATAATTCTGAATACTGATTTTGCTGCACAGTAACTTAATTTCTCTTCTGACCAATTTTCATAATTTTCGGTCATGTGGTCAAAATTGTTTCGAACATTATGTTACCCTGCGTTTCTTTTTCCTTTCAGTATATTTTGTAGATTTTTATTCATCCTTGTGAAAAAAAAAAATAATTCACGAAATATAAAATTTCAATCAGGGGAAAGAGACAAATAATATCTCAAACTTATGTAACCATGAGGTCATATCTAAATGAAAATATTTTTTCCTCGATATAACAACGAAATTTTGACTTTACTTAAATATGCAGGTTTGGTACGTTTGGGGACAGCACATGTTTAATATGTTTCTAACAAGAACATTTATAGATTTTTACCCGTACTTGCAGTTCCAGTTTCAGAAGGACTGTCGGTGATTTGTCCAGTGAAATGAACTCCATGGTTCCATAAATCATCCTCATCATAACGACAATGGAATATGTCCTCTGGAACAGGAATTTGGAACAACTGACTTCTACAATAATTTGAAATTGATTTTCTTTTTTGCATTCATAGTATGATTTTTTTTTTCAATTATCACTTTGGAAGGACACATACATTTTCTATGTTTTCCTTGTATTTTTAAACGACATTATATCTTATGTATATTACTAAGAATAATATAAATAATGTACATTACTCCTCTTTTTAGCTCACCTAAGCTGAAGGCTCAAGTGAGCTTTTCTGATCACAATTTGTCTGTTGTCTGTCGTTGTCGTAGTCGTTGTCGTTGGCGTTGTCGTCGTTGTTAACTTTTCACATTTTCGACTTCTTTTCAAGAAAAACTGGGCTAATTTCAATCAACCAAACTTTGCACAAAGTATCCTTAGGTGAAGGGGATTCAAGTTTGTTCAAATGAAGGGCCACGCCCTCTTCCAAGGGCAGATAATTCAGAAATAATGAAAATTTGGTGGTATGTTTTAAAAATCTTTAAAACCTCAAAAACCACTGTGCCTGAACAAATGGAACTTATAGGAAAGCAACCTCAGGTAGTGTAGATTCAATTTTGTTCAAATCATGACCCCCGGGGTAGGGCGGGACCACAATGGCCGATCAAAGTTTAACATAGAAATATGCAGGAAAATTCTTTTAAAATCTTCTTCTCAAGAACCACTGTGCCAGGAAAGATAAAACTTCAAGGAAAGCATCCTGAGGTAGTGTAGGTTCATTTTTGTTCAAATCATGACCCTCAGGGGTAGGGCGGGGCCACAATGGCCGATCAAAGTTTTACATAGAAATATATAGGAAAATTCTTTAAAAGTCTTCTTTTCAAAAACCACTGTGCCAGGAAAGGTGAAACTTATATGGAAGCATCTTCAGGTAGTGAAAATTCAAATTTGTTCAAATCATGACCCCCAAGGGTAGGGCGGGGCCACAATGGCCGATCAAAGTTTTACATAGAAATATAAAGGGAAATTCTTTAAAAATCTTCTCAAGAATAGCAAAGGCATGAATAATCATTTTTATTTTTTAAGCATTTTCAAGAAGTGGAGATTCAGGTTTGTTCAAATCATGATCCCCAAAGGTAGGGTAGGGGCACAATTAATGGCCAGTGAAAGTTTTACATTGAAATATATAGGGAAATTCTTTAAAATCTTCTTTTCAAGAATAGCAAAGGCATTAATGGTCATATTAATATTGAAGCATCCTCAGGTAGTGGAGATTCAGGTTTGTCCAAATCATGACCCCTGGGGGTAGGGTAGGCCATATTGGCTTATCAAAGTCTTACATACATGTATAAATATGTAGAATCCTCAAGAATAGCAAAGCCATGATAAGTCATATTTATATGGAAGCATCCTCAGGTAGTGTAGAATCAGGTTTGTTCAAATCAAGACCCTTGGGGATAGGGTGGGACCACAACATGGATCAAAGTTTTACATAGAAAAAAAATCTTTGAAAATCTTCTTTTCAAGAATGGGAAAGCCATGATGTGTCATATTCATATGAAAGCATTCTCAGGTAGTGATGAGGTAGGGCGGGGCCACAATGTAAGTTCAAATGTAAAGGGCAATAAAGCCACAGGTAGTCAAAGAAATATGCAAGCATTTAGTGTAAATTCAAGTTTGTTCAAATCCTACCCTCTCCCCTTTAAGGATTGGCTGGGACCACTATTGGGTTTAAACTTTTCAATAATAAACTGATTTCTGCTTTTTTCCTAGCCACATTGCTCAGGTGAGCGATATGGCCCATGAGTCTCTTGTTTCTGGTATTGATGTATGAATATTTACATTTCCAATGTCTTTGTCCGAGATTAAATTACAAATTGTAGATGTACTTTATTTCCCCATCAATGCATTGGTTCATTCAATAGGCGTGGTTAAAAAAAATCACGTACAGGGCAGGACAAATAACTAGACAGAGGCAGGGCTTGGAGCATGTGGATTGGTGAAATCAAAAGCATGTAAATATAAGGAATTACTGTCAGATTTTTCAATTTCATGACGATGATCAATCGATTGCTTGCGTGATAATTTTATGCATAAACGCCACAGGCACTTGTTTCGTATAATATAAGCAGGGGGTACCCCGTATACGAAACAAGTGCCTGTAATAAACGCCTTCTGCGTTTATGCAAATTATCACTGAAGCCAATCGATTGATCACATCATGAAATCGAAAAATAAGACAGTTATTCCTTAATTATATTATATTTGAAATAAAAAATATCAATAAACAAAAATTCAACAATAATAAAAATCTCTCTACAGCACGATTAAACACAAGATTTTAAAGATTTTGAATAAAATCGTATATTTAGAGCCGCAGGCCTTTGGATCGCTTAAAAAAATTTGTGTGTAAAAAAAATAAAGGTAGGGAACTCTTATACTGGGTACCCAATTTCGTTAATAAAATATTTTTTACTCTAATGCTCTAAAATTCTACTTTCTATTGAAATCTATTCATAGATAAACATTCTTCAATTCTACCAAAGGTCATTCCGAAATTACATATATTTCTTGAGATGTTCTGAAATCAATTTCAAAAATGACCTACTTTCTTTTACTCGACATTAGCTTGGGCCCCTGGTCATTCACATGTAAACAGGCGGTGTTTGAAGTGCAGCGAAGAGTTGTAAAGTATTTGCAAAATCTTTCAACATTTTAAAGTTGATTTTTTTACTCCAGATTGTAACGTTAAGACCGTAATAATTCCTTTCGCGAAAAATTAATTTGAAAACGTCCACATCAAAAACTAGACCGCCATGTTGATTGTGAATGTAAAAGAAGCTATAGTAGAACGAATTTTTCCCGGAATACATTATATACCTTTCGATTTTCAAAACAATTACACCACTAAAATGTTGTTTGTGACTTAGTAAGATCATATGATCAAATTAAAGAAAAACCTTGTAAAGCTCGAATGCAAGTGAGCAAATATTCATTGAGTTTAGAATAAATTCCGGGGAAAATTTGTCCCGTCGTTCCCGCTTTACAATTAGTGAAGGCCCAAGCTGATGTCGAGTAAAAAAATTAAGGTCAATTTGAGAATTGATTTTAGAATATCTCAAGAAGTATAAGGAAATACGGAATGAACTTGGCTAGTAATGAAGACTATTTATATTTGAATAGATATGGATAGAAAGTAAAATTGTAAAGCATTTGATCAAAAAGAATTTTATTGACGAAAGTAGGTACCCTATGAAAAGAGTTCCATACCTTTATTTTTTTTTCAACACCTCAATTTTTTCTAAGCGATCTGAATGCCTGTGTTTAGAGCTTATTATCCATACCCAATGAGCATAAAGAAATCCCTATCCCTGCTTTTCCGTAAGAAGTGCGTTTGTTGTACTGGTCAGGATGTACTTTAGAAAGTCAAAACAGTAAGATATTACTTGTGATGATAAAATCAATGAGATTTGAAGATAATAAACATGTTACCATGCTGATAGATCCATTCATTATACAAATTGCCAGGAACACATCAATCACGGGGAGCATATCTCAGAAGAGGGATCAAATACCATGGAGGAGAAAGCATCCCCTCACCTTTTTTAAAAGAAGACAAGTAACAATCATAGTCTTGTAATGATTTGCTGTTTTTCATTTTTTATGCCCCCATAAACGAAGTTTCGGGGGTATATAGTTGTTTTCATCTCTCTCTCTCTCTCTCTCTCTCTCTCTCTGTCTATCTGTTTGTCCGCAAAAACTTTAACCTTGCCCATAACTATTGATTTAGTGGAGCTATTACTTTCACATTTCACATGTGTATTCTTTGTGATTAGACCTTTCCCTGGGTACCACCAACCAAATTTGACCCTTTGACCTTGGAGTGTGACCCACTTCTACACAAAAATTCAACAATTTTACTTTGGCCATATCTTTTAAACAGTAGATACCAGGACTTTTATATTTCATATATGTATTTTTTGTTGCAAGACCTTTAATTTTTTATTACCAACAACTTTGACCTTTTAACCTTGACTTTAAAGACTTCCGTTCTTATGAAAAAACTTTAATCTTGGCCATAACTTTTGAACGGTAAGGGCTAGGGCTTTCATACTTCACGTATGTAATCCTTGTGAGAAGTCGCTTCATGGACTACCAAAAACTTGGACCTTGACCTTGGAGTTTGACCTACTTTACAAATACAATTTTGAACATAATTTTTGAAGGGTTAAAACTAGGGCTTTCATGCTTCACATATTTAATCCTTGTGACAAGACCTTTCATTTTATATCAAGAGCCTTGAAACCTTAACCTTTAAATTTGTCCAGTTTTATCACAAAAAATCCAAACTTTTACGTTGGCCCTAATTTTTCAAACCGTAGATACTAGAAATTTCATATTTCAAACATCAATTCTTTGTGGCAAGACCTTTCATTTGAAACAAACAATTTTGACTTTTTACCTTGGACATTTTTGTGCGTACGAAAAAATTTTAACCTTGGCCATAACTTTTGAACGGTAAGGGCTAGGGCTTTCATACTTCACATATGTTATCCTTGTGAGAAGACGTTTTATTGGACATCAAAAACTTGGACCTTGACCTTGGATTTTGAGCAACTTTTTTACAAATATTAACCTTGGTATAACTTTTGAACGCTAAAGGCCACCACTTTCATACTTCCCATATGTAATCTTTGAGATAAGGCCTTTCTTCACAAACCATGCAACAACCTTGACCCTTTGATATTTACAAAGAGTTTGTCCTACCTTTACAAACGTTAACCTTGGTCATAACCTTTGAACAAGTGGTGCTAGGGTTTTATATTTCATATTAGTATTTTGTGAAAAGGTCTTACTTCAGGTATCAACATATTTGATCTGCATTTGAGAAAGTTTAACCTTCGCTACATGTATGTTGCCATACGGGGGCATCAGTGTTTCACAAACACATCTTATTATGCGCCCGGATCACAGGCCTTCAGATCTCTTAGAACAAAAATTGAGGTGTTGAAAAAAAAATAAAGGTATGGAACTCTTTTCATAGAGTACCTACTTTCGTCAATAAAATTCTTTTTAATCAAATGCTTTACAATTTTACTTTCTATCCA